TGTGGAAGTGAAAACAAACTTACATGAGAACAAACTTGTATGATAATAGCATAGGAAATGAAGGGTAAGTTAGAGAATTAAAATAAGATAGGGGCCAATTTCCATAAGACCATATATAAACTGTGATGATGATAACTGGACTTTATCCTAAGCCAGTAGAAAACCTTTGAGATTTTTGAGGATGGCATTACATAATGAGATTTGAGTTTCTAGAATATCATTTTAGTTTTTGTGCAGAGAGGACTGGAGGGCAAACATGAATATAGGAAGATAGGAAGTTACTGGCAAAGGAGAGATGATCATGACTTGGATTAGAATAGGAATACAGATAAATGAGTGATGTTGAGAGATAGTCAGGAAGTAGAGCCAAGAGAATTATTTGATTGATTGGATTTGGAATAGAGACAGCAATTAAAAACTTAACAAAAATTTGGCTATGAAAGGGAGTAGAAAAAGATATTAGCTGAAAGAGGATGTGGTTTCTAAAGAAGGCTTTTATTTTTTCAATTATTAATTACGTGAGATCTTATTTATTGCATGAGAGATCTGTTTTATTCTGTTTTTCATTCTGATGTAAAAGTGCAGGTAGAAAGTGAAAGTAAAGATAGAGGAAAAGAGGGATAGTAGCAGTAAGTGCTTGATATGTCCAGGAGGATATTATGTCCACTCGACAGAAGAATACTTTAGCTAAGCGACCACCAGCATTCTTTCAGAAAGGAATGCATGGAGGATAGGTAAAAGGCAGGCAGATCTGTAGTGTTGGTGGTAAAGATGCCACAGCTTTCACTGGCTTGATGAATAGGCAGTTTATCTGTGTAAAGTGGGGGAGGGAAAAGAAAAATAAACAGCCTTGGAAAGAAGACAGTTTAAGGGAAATTTTTTTTTTTTTTCACTGAGTCAGCTGACTAGTGAAAAAGTCGGATTTTTACAAGTCCCAGATTGGTGACAGAATTTAGTCTATATAGTTGTGTGTGTTTTCTCCAGCCTAACCTGTCAGCCTAGGCATAGGCAGTGGAATACAACTCACTGAACTCATCCAAAGTTGGGGTTCTATCAGGCTGGAAGGAAGGTAGGGGAGTTTAAGTTGTTGACATGTGAGTGATTCAATTGTCTATTATATGCAAGCCAGAGATCAGAGGAATTAGTAATTTCTCAGGTGACTGGCTAAATCCAGAGTGTGATGATAATGAGTGGTGGTATAAAAGAGAAAGTTATTGCATATGACCTTGTAATTGTATTCTCAATGGATCAAATCCCATACTGTAGCCAGAATCAATATTATCAAGACATTTTCCTACTTGGCCAATCTAAGTGATAAAATTTTCATATTTGTTGGAAAATCAGCAAGACTCTCTCTTCCCCATGAGTTTGAATACCAATTAGGATTTTCACACAAATAGTGGAGCCAAGCTAAACCAAGACGACTGGTAATTTTTCATGGGAAAGAAGAATAAAAAAATTAAGCTATCTCTGGCAATATATAAAAGCTAAGAGAAGCAAGCTAAAAATAAGCAGAAACAAAGGCAAACAATAAAGTTAGAACTTTAACAACATGTGCACGTTTAACTGTTTCATGTATTATATATACTAATATACTATTTCTCTGGTATGCTGTGTACTAGAAAATTTGAATGGTGAGATAAAAAACTTTATGTGCATGTGTACAGTTTCTACTAGTTACTTCCTGAACCTCAGGGATCATCTGGTACACCCCACTTTGGAAAACTGTACATAATGCTGGTAATTTTTTAGGCCAGTAAATATTTCCCCTAGTCCTATACCAGTGGCAGTGAGTAAATTTAAATAGATTAATCTCCCATTGACTGCCATAATTCAGAAACTATCACACTTGGAAATTAGAAATCTTAGTTCTTTCAGTTTGAGGACAGAGTGGTATTTGGAAGCTTGGAAAGCTATGCTTTCCCTTTTTTGCCACCCAAGATGAAGAAAAAAAAATCACTATTTTCCAGGTCAACTATCATTTATTAAGGTCAGTAGGATGGAACATATTAAAATGAAAAACCACTTCCAGAAATTAAAAGAACTTGCTAGAGTTCATATTTTTACTTGCCTCTAAACTTGGAAGCAAATGGTGAGGGGTCAGGGATGGATAAGAAGTTGTAGTCAGGCCCAGGATTAGAAGTTTCTTTTAACCACTTTTAGTCTACAAATGCTGAATGAGTTGCCCACAGAGTGCAAGACATTGAGGCATTATAGGAAACTGGAAAAAAAAGTCCAAAACATGACCTGGCCTTCTAGGGGTTATGGTGTCATTGGGAAAGCAAAACTATGACACATAATTATGCACAAATATCAATCATTCTTGGTAACATAAAGCAGTATGCAAGAGAATGGGATATGTGAGATGTTATCAGAAAACAAGATTTAAGTATCTCAGGTAGAGGGGCACCTGGGTGGCTCAGTCGGTTAAACATCCAACTCTTGATTTCGGCCCAGGTCTCAGGGTCATGAGATTGAGCCCCTGCATCGGGCTCTACTCTGGGGATGGAGCCTGCTTAAGATTCTCTCCCTCCCTCTCCTTTTGCCCCTCCCCCGCCCCATGTGGGCATATGCATGCTCTTTCTCTCTTTCTCAAAAAAAAAAAAAAAAATGCATATCTAAGAAAGTGAAAGGATTCAGAACATGCCACCCCAAAATATGCCACTTTGGCGTTTTTTAAAAAGATTTTATTTACTTATTTGAGAGAGCATGAGCTGGGGGGGGAAGGGTGCATATGGAGGGAGACCGGCAAACTCCCCTTGGAGCTGAGAGCGCAATGTGGAACTTGATCCCAGGACCCTGGGATCATGACCTGAGCAGAAGGCAGACCCTTAACCTATTGAGCCACCCAGGTGCCCACCACTTAGGCATACTGATTATTTTGAGCTGAAGGAACTAAGAAAACAGATACAGGAAGGATTCTTTGACCTCCCCTTTTACCAAAAACAGGTCATAAAATTTCCTGTGAGAAAGGTGCCCTCCCTCTACCAGGAAGAGAACATTCTTATCACCAGACGTGAGACTGATGCCAAAATGGACCTTTACAAACAAGCCTACTAAAATAATCCTTATCTTCCATTGGTTTCACCCACATTTCATAATCACTGTCCCACGATTTACTGTCCATTACCCAAGCCCCTTTCCTTGTCACATCCCCACGATTTGTTGTTCTTTGTATAAAAAGGTATGTAACTTGGGCCTAGTGATGTCTTTGGACCTTATCTCCTTCTGAATACTCCCATATACACATTAAAATATTAAATAAATGCTTTTTTTCACTGGATAATCTATCAATTCTTAGGCTCAGCCATAGAACCTAAGAGGGTAGAAGGGCAGATGTTTTTCCTTCCCTACAAGAGAAATAAGCATTTCAGTTTAAAGGACCCTCCAGAACCAGTGTGGAGAAATAATAAACAGTGATGGAAAGGTGAAGTAATCAATTTGGCTGGAGTATAGGATTCACCTTAGAATGTGCTCAGAGGTAAAAGATTAGACTGTCAACTTTATCAGTCTGCAGTGGTGCATCACTGAAGATTTTTTTGTGCAGCAGTAATGTGCATTGTTTTGGGAAAGTTTATCTGGCCATTACTAAGTGGCTATTAATATCATCTTGCTAGATAATGGTTTGAGTGAGGAATTAAAAAAAATATATAGATGAAAAAAATCTGTTACAGAAAAGAAGACACGAGGAACAAAAGATAGCAGTCAAACATGACACCTGACTAGTAGAATCATGGAAATGATACAGGCACACATTATGAAAAATGTTGATGGGAGAAGTTTTTGGAGCTTTTGAGTCAGAGGTGACTATAAGACATATATTTAGAAATATGCAACAACCGACAAGCAGCCAAAAATGTGAACCTAGAACTCTGAGGAAAGGTGCAGACTTAGGACTCACGTTCTCAGGGAAATGTGGAAAGAGAAAAACAAACTAAATACAAGCTTTAAACGCAATGATCTAAAGAATTAGGAAACTAGAATGGGTGAGGACCTAAAATAAGTAATACAGTATCTCAAAGCTAGGAAATCAAACGGTTTAAATAAGGAAAAGGAAGTGAACTTCAATGACGTGAGTTGCTATGGAACTGTCAGGTTCACTTGTAATAATTAGATCATTTTAAGAGCTGGGAGCTCTGTAGTTTACCATTTCGTCTTCTCACGGATAAACAGGAAATTAGTATCCAACTCTTCCCCCTGTCTTAAGCTAGAATTCCTTTTGGGATTCTACTTTTAGGGACTGGGAGTTGAAGATGAGTCAACAAGCTCCCATAGTCTTTGTTTTCTTACCAGCTACCATAAGTTTTTGTTACATGTGCAAATGAGCAAGGCCCCAAACAAAAAACATGACTGCAACTAAGTCACAGCCTTCTAAATCATGAGGCAAAGGAGGAAGGTCGTCCAGTATTTGCATATGCTGAGTCCCACAAATAACTGTTAAAACTCCAGAAAGCCCACGGCTGCTCTATTCAGTCTAGACAAGACCTTGAGTAACCACCCTTGGAAAAGCCAAGGCAGAGGAGGTCATCAGGCTCAGAAATCTATGAACCTGGGTTTTGTTTTAAGATTTTATTTTTAAGTAATCTCTTCACCCACCGGGGCTGGAACTCACCACCCCAAGATCATGTCATAAACTCCACTGACTCAGTTAGCCAGGCGCCCCAGGAGCCTGGGACTTCTAGACACAGGCAACTCCGCTGCAGTTCCCCCTGTAAACAACAGCCCTTCAAACGTTTTTTACCTACAATAAAAGATCTTAAGATAACAAGCCTTGAAAAACTAATGAAATCTGTGCACCCTCCCCACACAACGTCTTCCTGCATACATTTTCCGCAGGTCTTTTAGTGCCAGACGATAGCCAAGGAACCCTCTAACCTCGGGCCGGCGGCCCCACGTCCCTAGGTCTGCGCAGGCGCAAGGAGCAGCCCGCCCAGGGGCGGGGACGGGCGGGGGTGCGCCGGCGCAAAAGACCCCCGCGCCTCCCCGGAAATTTCATGTCACCGGGCTTCGGAGGCGTCGGAAGTGCTTCCTGGAGCACGGAGGAGGTCACAAGTCATGTGACGACGGCTTTCAAGGGAGACTGTCTTTGAAGCTGTCCCTGAACTTACAGCTGAGAGAACACCGCAGCCCAGAAAGCCGGGTAACTTGAGCCGCTATGCGTGGTATTGAGCCCGGGGCCCCCCGGTGGCGCCGGCGGAGACTCAGAGGAGGGAGAGGACTTGCCTTCGGGCCTAGATCTTCGCGGGTGGAGGGTGGAGTGGACAGAGATAGGGCATGACAGCTACCGTCTGGGTATTTGGGAACTCGCTCTCATTCCGGCTTCCCTGGTGCGAGTCCTAGAGCCGCGGATTCTTGCCTGGCCTTAATGAGAGCTGACCCCGCTTATTAGGTTGGAGGTGGGAAGAAGTGTCGAGGGGAGAGTCACCAGGAGTTTCTCTTCCAGGAGTGGACATTGATCCTGCGGGACAAAGGGGTTCGTCATGGCGGATGTGAGTTAACACACCCACACAAGAGGAAGGGGAGGATGGGAAGTTTAGGGGAGGCCTCCTGGGCGGGGAGAGGTAAAGCTTGCCAAGGAGAAATGTGTTCCCTTTTAGACCCCCACCCCCACCCCCACCCCCACACGGTTTCTGTAGACTCTGGAGTGAGTGACTAAGATGAAGAGATTTGCGGAGTCCCGAGTTTCTGCCCACAGTGGGTGTGTTGATGTCTTGAGGTTGAGAGAATTGTTTTCTTCCCACTCCCCAGTCCAGCGGGCAGAAGAGAGGCTCTGAATCCCATTTGAATTTCTAAATGTTTTGCTGCTGTGAATCTACTTTTTTCCAGTAAGTGGTCATGATGTCTCTCTAGATTCACTGGAGCAAATTGAGATGATTTCTGACTGATACCTCTTTAGCACAGCAGTAAAACCCAAATTTTAAGTTTAGGAAACTTAATTGTACTAGTTACTAGAAACAACCGGGAATTAATACTACTAATGTTTGTGTCTATATTTTCATTCTGTTTTATTACTTACATGCTGGGTACTCTTCATTGAACATACACTTATTTAATTCTTACAACTTTTATGAAGTAGGCACTGTTACTGTCCTTGTGTTCTAGATGGGGAGGCTAAGGCATAGAAAGATCATGTAACTTGCCTCTGGTTACACAGCTGGTAAGTTGTAATGTCAAGATACCACCCCAGGCAGTCTGACTCCAGGGCTTATGCTCTTAACCACTAGGCTAAATGATCACTCAACATTAATATTGAATGTGATTTTTCTTTTTAGGTTGCAAGACTGTATGTTTGAGTATTTAGGAACTTTGTATGCCTTTATCACTCCATTTTTGAGTGTCTGTCATTATGTTCTTGAGAACATATTCTCCAGTCATAGTCAAACACTGTGTATCTATTGATTATCACCTTGCAAAGTTTGTTGTAATAAGGGCTGTGTGTGAAATAGAGATGATGAAGGTATAATTCCTCTCCCTAAGGTTTTTTTTTTTAATATTTTATTTATTTGTCAGAGGGAGAGCTCATGCATGTGAGCACACAAGCACAAGGAGTGGCAGGCAAAGGGAGAAGCAGACTCCCCTCTGAGCAAGGAGCCTGATATGGGACTCCATCCCAGGATCCCGGAATTGTGACCTGAGCCAAGGCAGACACTTAACCAACTGAGCCACCCAGGCATCCCTCCATGAGGGTTTAAAAAAAAATTTTTTTAAGTATAATAGGCAGGTGGTCATAAATGTATTAAATAATTGTGTGAAAATTCAAAAGAAAGAGGGATTACATCTCGTTGGTGTGTATCAGGAAGGCCTATTTGAAGTATTTGGTGGTTGAGATTAACTCTAAATAATGAGTAACACTTTTTCTTAAAGTAAGGTTGATAGAGAATTACTATTAAAATGAATAGTGTAAACAAAGTTTGAGAGATGGGAAAGGGAAAGGTATGTGGAGTAGCTGTGAATAGTCCACTTTTGCTGGGGTTGAGAATATGTATGAGGGAGTGATAGGAAGCAGGACTGTAAAATTAGCTGTAAACCATATTGTAGAGAAGCCCAAATGTTGCAAGAATTTGTAGAGAATTTATTCAACAGTGGAGAGTCATTCAGACATTGGTTCTCAACCCCAGCTGCACAGGGGATCATCTGGGGAGCACCTGTAGCACAGGTAGAGAAGGAGAATAATATGGTTATTGGCATTATGTAGAACTAACTGTATGGGATAGAAGTGAAAGATCAGTTTACCAGTTGGGAGGCCAGCACAAGTCACAGATAATTTTTAAAGTGAAACTAAATTGTAATGTCGGTTGAAAAGGAAAGGAAGAGGGGCACCTGGGTGACTCAGTTAAACGTCTGCTCTTAGCTCAGGTCTTCATGCTTCTCCCCCTCCCTCTGCCTGCTGCTCCCCCTGATTGAGCTCAGTATCTCTGTGTGAAATAAATAAATAAAATCTTTAAAATAAAAAAAAGAAAGAAAAAAGGAGAGGAAGAGGTCATTTTAAAAACATTTGACTTCACAAATCATTTAAAGGTGATAAAGGTGAGGTTAGGGTTGAATGTTACTCTGTGTTTCAGACCTGAGTAATGGGATTGGTAGTGGCATTAGTAGAGACAAGAAGAGATTGAGGAAATCTGGATTCTTCATGAAACATAATGAGTTGAGTTTTAATGTGTGTGTTTAAGATAAGAGCAGAGGTAAGGTGGTGGTCATAACATGAAATAAAGTGAACATTCAGGTCTCGAGAATAGTAGGGAATAGAGGTTCAAAACAACAGATTCCTGATTTACCTATGTAGACCTCATAATTCCTACCTGGATTGTCAGTGAAATTCCCTGGGTGAGAAATTGTAACAAGAGGAAATAAAATAGTCTTTTTTTTTTTTCTTTATTCCTAATTATGTTCCATGCTTAACACTTGATACATGTTGTCATTTATCTTTAGTCATGAAAAGAAACAGAATTTCAGAGAAGTTAATTTACCCAGGATTGCTAAAAAGGAATGTGAGAAAGTTTATCTGCAGACATGGAAAGATGTTTATAATATATTCTCAAGTTAACAGGACAATAGCAACAGGATGTAAAATAGTATGAAAAATGTGATCTAATTTTACAGCTAATATGTATTTGTCCAGATATGCTACTCAGTTTACATACATCTTCTCAATAAATGTTAAAAACAGTCTTATGAGATAGGTTCTGTGATTATCCCTTCTCAACAGATAATGAAACTGGGGCTTAGAGAGAAAAGTTAAATAACTTGTTTTAAGTCACACAGTATCAAAATCAAAAAAAAAAAAAAAACCACAAGCAAAAAGATTATAAATTATGATTTAAAGTACCTGAAATGTGGGTAGGACAGTTTCTAGAGAACCAGTACATATTGATATAACATGACTTTTTTATATTCTCTTTCAGGACCTAAAGCGATTCCTGTATAAAAAATTACCAAGGTAAAAAATTACTAATTTGTTAATATATGTCGATTTTATGTAGCATTTTGTTTCTATTTATTTTAGACTAATAGTATGTGTATATTATATTGTTATTTAACGTTTTCAAATACTTGGCACTAGACAGTACAAGAAATGTTCTTTGATTTTGTGGATAAATACTATCAGGCCTAGAGAAGTTACATGACTTGTTGCCTGAGGTTAAATAGCTCATGAATGCCAGAGAGCTAGAACTCCTATTTCTTGCCACTTTTAGAGTTTTTTCAAATATACTATCATAACAGTTTACTGGGTTATATTTTGAGATAGAACAATTTTAAGGAGAAAAACGCTAGAGCTTGCCTTTTCTTTAGTATTACGTTTAAGACCTAATTGCAGAGTTTGCATAATCCAAAAATGCTAGATGTAGATAGCAGTTCATACTCGGAAAAATCACAAGGCTTTCTTTTTGCCTGCCCCCAATCCATTTGATGTACCATTATCAATTTGGCTGTGTGTGGAGAACAGCAGACTTCCTTTTAGATATTTTTATGGTTCAAAGGACTTTGTCATTTTAGTTATATTAAAATTCACATTTAGTTTAGTGTAAAGTAATACCTTAGAGTTAAGGACATGAGAGAGAGGAAGACATCCATTTTCACATTCCAGCATAATTGAATAACCTTTGAGGTGTAAGGTAGCAGAATATGTGGTGAGATCCTTTTTTTTTTTTTTTTTTTACTTCTTTTTTTATTCTCCTAATGTGTGAATTTAAAAAGGTTTTGGATGTCAGTTCATTTCCGTAGGTAGTTAAAAAGAAACAAAAAGAAAAACAATTCTCATTTAGATTTTTGCCTGAATTGTTTGATGTGGTTTGACTATTAACTTGTGCCTTTACCCTGACTATAAGCCAATAGAAATTAATGGTATTATCTCTTAGGCTTGATTTATGTATATTTGTCTGTATTCAGGAAAAAAATACTATTATATTCAGGAAGAAAATATTATTGAAGTGTTAAATAATTGTTACCTTTGGCTTCCCGTTAATGTAGTATTTAAATTCATTTTTACTCTCTTCTTTCTAGTGCAAACTGGAACACTGACTCTGTTCTCAACGTAATGATGAGCAGGCAGTCTTAGCTTTGCATGGTAGTTCAGGGCAGTAAAATGACTGTACATGCTGAAACTGTCCAAAGCAATTTTAGTAATCCCTGGGAAAAATGACAGTTGTTTTCTGATGTTTAGAAAATTTTGTCAAAACCTTAAAACCTCTTTTGTTGGTTCTGTTTGAGGGAATGGAAACAAATGCTAAAAGCAGTATTTGTTTAATATACTGCAGTTTAAAAACAGTGGAATACTGAGTACTAATGTTTATTTCTTCGTAGAAAACTTCTCGAGTATAGTTTGAACAGTGCCTACTTCTTTGCATATACAGTAAAATAATATGAAAGGTATAACCTTAAGATAAGGAGTAGGCATCTTTTCTGTGCCTTCAAATGAACATACTCCTTTCTAAGTTTGGATCAGCTTCCACCATTTTGTCCTTTGTACTATCGATGTTGTGTGAAGTTTTTTGCCAGCGTCAGTTCCTCTGGGCTGTCTTCATCCTTTTCATCCCAAGCACTTGCCTAATTACTGTCCGTGAACGCACTTGCACGAAGTTCCTCTGGCTGCACGTCTTGTGCACAACAGCACAACAGCAAAAGCGTCAACATTCTTTTGGCCGGTTATTTCTTCTCGAGGTGTTGACTTTCTGCTTGAATTTCACTTCCAGCATTGTCACTTTCCTTCCTTTGCCTTTGCTTCCTTTCCTTTCATCTTGATGAGCCAGTTCCCTATTTCAGTTCTGTTTTTCTTTTAAATGTCATATACTTTACCATTAGAAAACAAGGAGATAATACTCTGTACTTTACTGTCCCTGCATACACTGAGGAAGGGATGCTCGGTGACCAGTCACCAACACATTTTGAAAGAAGTGATGTGGCTGGTTCCTGATACAGTGCGATCTGTCACTTACAAAGTTGTTCATGTTAGTGAGGTTTGTACTGTATATATTTACTCACTATACCATACTTCCTAAAATTTGAGCCTTGCTTTCAGGGGGAGTGGTGTTATTTAGTTCAACCGTGAGAACTAAAATGTGTCCATATTGGAACTGTACAAAATGAAGGCTTTCTGTGTTTCTCTGTATCTGCCTTCTTGGAGATCTGGCATATTAAAAGGATGGTAAAATTGACCAGTAGAGTTGGAGGGAAATCCTGCACTGGCAACAGAATATAGGAGCAGAAGCATAGTTGATATTTGTAAAAAGGGTAATTGTTAAAGTGTCATGAAAATATTTCTATAGTGGAAGAAAGGGCTTTCCATGTACTTTGTTTCAGTTTGGTTTCCCCCCCATAATGAGCAAGGCCAGTTTGATTCATATTCATTCATGACTTTTTCTTGAAAGTAGGCTTAGTGTATCCCAAAAGCTAAAGGACTGAAGAAATAATATTGAACACTTACAAAGAAAAGTAATAAAATACACATTTGATTTGTTGCTAGATGTATGTAAAGTGAAGGGATTTGGACAAAGGCAACTTGGCTTCAGAGCTGTGGGTTCATGCTTTTAATTGTTAGAGCTATACTTCTCAACACGGAGTCAGTAAATGGAATACGTTTTTGTTCATTTTTAAATTCTCTGCTAAATACAGTTTTTGAATTTCTATTTTTAAGTCTAGTTGTGACCCAAAGTAGGCTCAGCTTTAATAGTCACAATTTTTGTGTTTTAAAATAACCAGAAGTTTCGTTATTATATATGTAAAAGGAAGTATGGTGTCTGATTACAAATACAATATTTGAGGTTTTTTTTTGGAATTAAAAATGTTTGTTTTATTAAGTTTAAGGTTTAGATGTCTGCAGAATATTTCATAACATTTAATTCCTTCCAGAAATGCAGTGTACCTATTAACGCATCATGCTTATTTTCAACTACTAGTAAAATCTACTTATGTTATTTTTTGTTCACTCTATGTAGAATTGGAAACACCTTATATATTTGTGACCTGATTTCTTTTAGTGGGTATTTTAAGTATATGAGTAATTTTTCTACTTTGTTGGGCATTTACCTCTGTGAATTTAAAATCCATTAAAAAGAAATTCTTTATTTCTTTTTTTTTTTAAGATTTTATTTATTTATTTGACAGAGATCACAAGTAGGCAGAGAGGCAGAGGGGGGTGGGGGAAGCAGGCTCCCCACTGAGCAGAGTGCCCTATGCGGGGCTTGATCCCAGGCCCTAAGATCATGACCTGAGCCTAAGGCAAAGGCTTAACCCACTGAGCCACCCAGGCGCCCCAAAAGTCCTTATTTCTGCCTCCCCTTTTGGTGCACTAGTTGGCATTTAAGTTAATTATCTTGAAAATAAGAGAAAAGAAACTATGGTGACACAGATATTTCTAAACATTTTTTGGTAGTACTCATTACCTGCTTTTTAATTTGTTTATCTTTTGAGTAGGCAGTACATTCATAAAGTTCAAGATTCAGAAGGTAACTGAAGGACAATAGTGAAAAGTTTCCTATCCTGTCCCCCAGCCACACAGTTCCCTTCTCAGGGATACCCAGTACCTTCAAAGATACTTTACACACCTGCAAACAAGCATGTATATAAACATACATAGGTCATAGTTGAGACTGTTAAAACAAAATACCATAGATTAGATTTCCTATAAATAACCAAAATTTATTTCTCACGGTTCTAGAGGCTGGAACTCCAAGATCAAGGTGCCAGCATGATTCTGAATTGCAGATTGCAGACTTCCCATATCTTCATACGGTAGAAGGAGGGCTAGCTATCTCTCTAGCCTTAAGTAAGGGCACTGTATGATATCTGAGGGCTCCACCTCCCCCCCCATTCCGACCTCCCAAAGGCCCCGCCTCCAGATACCATCACAGTGGGATTTAGGTTTCAACATGAATTTTGCGGGCTGACATAATCATTCAGTCCATCACAGCATATACATACATGTACCTACCCTTGTTATTATGTAAGTTTTGCTTCCTGTACATACTATTCAAAACTTGTTTTCACTTCACAATATACTTTTGAGATAAGTCCTTCGCAGTACATGCAAAGAGCTGTTTCTTTGTTTTTTGGCTGCAGAGTATTCTATTGTGTATGTGTGTTATAATTTATTGGACTCGTTCTTCTTGATAGGCAGGTTTCTAGTTTTTTCCTATTTCAAGTCATGTTGCTCTTGATAACTGTACAAAGTAGTTTCTGTGTGTGCAAGTATCAGTAGGATATACTTTTATATAACCTAGTTTTTAATTAAGAAGAATTTGTTTTATAAATTAACCTTACAAGAGCACATTTTAATGTATAGATAATTCCAGGATTGAATGATAATAAAAAATAATACCAGTAAATGTTTATACAGGTTATTTCATCATTTTTACTTTTAACGTGAGGTTCATAAATGGTAGTGTTCATAACATTTTCTCAAAAAAATTTTTTTTTAAGAATTTTTATTTATTTGACAGACAGAGACCACAAGTAGGCGGAGAGGCAGGCAGAGAGAGAAGGGAAGCAGGCTCCCCGCTGAGCAGAGAGCCCGATGCGGGGCTCGATCCCAGGACCCTGGGACCATGACCTGAGCTGAAGGCAAAGGCTTTAACCCACTGAGCCACCCAGGCGCCCCCATTTTCTCAAAATTTAATAACACTTCTCTTAAAAGTTTCTCTTAAAAGACTTAAAAGTTGGCGATTCATAGACCTGTACCCCTGGGGATAAAAATACATTATATGTTTATAAAAAAATTTTAAATTTTAATAAAAGGGAAAAAAATAAATAAAGTAAAATTGCAGTCTCAAAAAAAAAGACTTAAAAGTTTTTGCCACTGGGATCTTTAAAATTTAATTTCAGTGTATAATATGACTCTTCCTTATTTCTAACTTAAAACATTAAGGTTAACACAATAAGGAATGGATAATCTGAGTTAGAGTAGGAACGTTGAACGTATTTCTGAGTAGCAATCTTGGATATTACAAGATCATGGAACTGAAAGTTTGAGAATGTTTTCCCATTCTAATTTTTAGCACTTTAGTTTTGTAGCTCTAGAAATTCTCTTATGAGTTAATACTTAAACTGCACTAATAAATTGTCAGTGTGTGCAGATGACACTCTGATGCTAATTACTAATAATTAATATTTTTGAATTTTAACTATGTACCAGCCTCTACATTATTATTTTATTAAATTTTATAATAATTACATAAATACAGTTATTCCCATTTTCATATTGTTAATGGAGGCTTACAGAGTTTTCATAATTGGCCCAGGGTAGTGTAAATAGTACACTAGGCTGGACTAGATGGTTATAGTCTTGACCATTCCACTCGCTGCTTCTTATGTAGGCATAGCTGAAGAGATTGCTACATGACCTTCATTCTTTCCATTCTGTTCCTTCAGCCTAGATCAGTCTTTCTGACCCTCTTCTCTTGACCAGTGTTATAACATCTCAGCTTAGCTGTCACCGTCTCAGGGAAGCCTTCCCTGACCCACTTGTGTAGATCAACCACCTTTTTATAGTTTCTTATAACCCACAGTTATCTTGATGGCACTTGATACCATTGTCACTGTAGCTGCTGCTGATAACCTGTCACACTTGCATAAATAAAGGAAAGAAAATTAACAATTATAATGGAGAATTATGCATGTTTTAGATCTTTATCAATAGCATAAATTTGTGAAGATTATAAGCATGACAGTAATACACATGTTTATTCAATTTCTAGAAGTTTTGGCAGACATCTAGGAACTTTTGAGGTCAGTAACTGAGTTGACATAGTTTTTCAGAAATGTACATGAAAATCCCCAGAATGATTTGAGGTACATATTTTGAGAAAATGAAATGCTTCATAAGATTTTAACTTCTTTTTTTCCTTCTAGTGTTGAAGGGCTCCATGCTATTGTTGTGTCAGACAGAGATGGAGTCCCTGTTATTAAAGGTAAAACTGTGCCTGCCTGCCAGTGTCATGTTTGCTTTTGAATAAAAACATACTTAGGTCTGAGTAGTGCAGAAGGCAAGCATGTAAAAGCTGTTTCAATAAATCCAGGAGATGGTCTTAGTTTGGGGGAAGATGTTTGCTTTTGTATGTGGAAGGCTTCATTGGAGCTTATAACTGACTACATGTTGAATGATTGTGTCACCGTTGAGAGTTTAAGCGTGGATTTATCACAAGCCCAGTTTTTCATGAAAGACATTAGTGGCGTAACGTCAAGAGTAAATGTCAGTGCTGGGGGACTGGGACTGTATGTAGCTACATATATTGTACACACAGACTTCCCCTGACATCTGTTTTTTAATTAGTACTGCTGGTGGTTTGGAGATAAACTTTCATACATTTGAATTGACATATTGATTGTTTTGCTGAATCTTTATTGATTTTCTCCTACTTACTGGAAATAAGATTTTTTTTAAACTTTTAACTTCACAATTACTTTAGTTAACCAGACTCTAACAAGACTTTCTTACCTAAAGAAGAGCTTGTTAACCTAAAAAAAGAAAAAAAAAATTTGCGTGATTTTCAGGAGGTTTTTTTTGTTTTGTTTTGTTTTTTAGATTTTAGTTATTTGAGCGAGTGTGTGTGTGTGTGTGCATGTGCTTAGGCAAGCAGAGGGAGAGGGACAAGCAGACTCTGGCTAGAGCTGGAGCACAGATCCCAATGTGGGGCTCTATCCCTGGGCCCTGAGGTTATGACATGAGCTAAAATCAAGAGTTGGTCGCTTAGTCGACTGAGCTACCCAGGCTCCCTTGAGCTTTAGTCTTTAAGTATATATGATGTCACTGAGTGACTGTGTATTAAGACCATTTTTAATACTTGTGTCTTAAGGCAGTATCACATGAATGTTCATAGTTCTATAGGGATGCTATAATAGCTTTATCAAAGAAAGATGAAATGATTTTCTTTACATTTTATTTACAGTTTTCCACCTGAAGTTATCATATATGTCAGATCATTTTAGACCTTAGAATTAAAAGGAAGTTTAGAAATCACCTAATTTAGTTCTTTCATTTTGTAAACAGAGATGGTCAAGTGCAAAGAGTGCATTGTTAGTACAAAGTTGCACATGAGTCAGTGACAAGATAATACTAGAATACATATATTATGTATATTATAAATATATGTTATAGTATAACAAATATATTAGAAACAAAATACTATAATTATAATTGTAATAGAACCATTATCTTCTGATGTGTAGTTCAGTGTGTGTTCTAACCCACCATAAAACATAGATGGCTGTGGGCAAGTAAGGTGCCTGCCTTTTTGCCTTTACTCAGTTCTGAACAAAATTAAAATAATCGGCAGCTCTAATTTTCTTTCTTAGGAGCTCTGTGTTAAAGCTATTGATACAACTAACTCCATTCAGGCCTTTTAATGAGTGAAAGAAACTTAAAACAGATGGCCACCTCTAAATTTATTAATATCTATAAGTAATGCTGCTATAGGTTTTATGAGAGAAAAATTTTCTGGAAGCTTTTTTCATTATTCTAGCTTGGCTCTCGGTTAACCAGAATATTCAGTTTATTAAACATACTGATTAATTTGTGTTTTAAAGTAGATATTAAGAAAATTAAACATTTAGTATTCTTTAAAAAAAAAAATTGTGAGAACCAGTATTTCTTTCCTTAGTTATGATCACTCAATTTCTGGTGAAGCAGTTTTTTTCACCTAAACTGATGAGACCCAGTTAGTGATACGATTTTCAGTATTGTGAAGCATAATAGCCCTTCTCTCAGTATTTTCACTGATTTATGTTTAAAAAAAGAAAAAGTGCGGTAAACTTCTCTCTGTCCTATCCACTGCATGATTTTTTTTTTTTAAATCGTTTGTATTTCCAGTGGCCAATGATAATGCCCCAGAGCATGCTTTGAGACCTGGTTTCTTATCTACTTTTGCCCTTGCAACAGACCAAGGGAGCAAACTTGGACTTTCAAAAAACAAAAGTATCATCTGTTACTATAACACCTACCAGGTAGGTTCATAATTATAGAGCAGTTTGCTGTTTTCAACTGTTGTTATGCCTTCTATATAAAATAGCTTGTGTTTTTATTCTAAATTTTAGTTTTGAAGCGTGGATGACATTTTAAAATTTTAGTCTTCAAATTGGTTGTGTTGAATTGTAGTAATTGTCTTCATATTTTATACCAGGAATTAATTAATGTGGAAAAGTAGTCAAAAGATTTATTAATAAAATATGTTATTCTAAAAAGGGAAGTCAGGTCACTATTACCTCCAGTAGATGGTGCCCTTAGCTTAACAAATGTGATTTCTCAAATAACACACTTTTTTTTTGTTGTGACAAATAAAAAATTTTCCCTTGACAGTTAGGATAAGTTACTGAAATTTGTTACTGCTGCTAATTCCTTCATTTGGTTTGGAAGATGTATTTTCAGTGAGGTTATCATGAAGGAATTTCATTGCTACATACCTCTTGGTCCCCAGCTCCATTTTCTTATTTAGAATAAATTAATTGCTTCTGCTTTAGAGCAGTGTTTCCCAGAGTTTGATTCGTGTACTGCTGATATTACAGGTTATATTTTTATTTTAAAACTTCATATTTTCATGTGTATTGGACAGAAGATAATCAACCCTTTTGATCTTCAATTTCATCAATAAGGATTAGTTTGAAGCTAAGTTTTTTTAAATGATAGTTGATTTGAAGGTAACTTAAATTTAAATTAATAGTGGTACCCAGGAGGCAGGGAAATCATGAAGGTATAAATACTTGAAGGAGAAATACTGACTTCAGCCATTTAATAATCAAGTGTTTGTGGAGCCCCTGCCATGTAATAATTGACACACCACTGGTCTTTGGGAGGTAAAGAGGTGAAGGTGGCATAGTCCCACCTTTAGATCTCTCCAGGCTGAGTAATGATAATGGCTCTAAGAGATACTCAGTAAGTCTATTGAATGGAAATACTTGTTTTCAGCTCTTTCATATTCCATAATGGGGTAGGTAGTATCTTACACATTGGCCATTTAAATAAAAGTTTTGAAAGATTAAGGTATTTCATTTGAATAACATTATTTAGATCTTAACTTTCTTTTTAGGTTGTGCAATTCAATCGTTTACCTTTGGTGGTGAGTTTCATAGCCAGCAGCAATGCCAATACAGGTGTGTTTTAACTACCTTAAATACAGCTTTTAATTTCTTATAATACCATATCTGAACAGTCTAATATGATCGGAATAGTAGATTTAGAGTCAAAAAAGCTGAATTCATGACCTACCTCCACCATCTATTCCTTGGTCTCCAGAAAAGTTTAACTTCTGTGACTTCTGTTTTCCCTGGCTATATAATGGAGCTAATATCTGCTTTCTCTGTCTCATGGGGTTATTTTCTAGTTCAAATGAGACATTGTATGGGTGGGTGATCCTTGAAGATAGAAAGGAAAATTAAATTATCTTCACCTCTTGAATGCTACATCTTGCTCACATTAAAACAGCTTAAGAAAACACAAAAAGAGTAGAGTAGATAACCACACACATAAAATGGTCAAGGATGAATTCAATTCTATGTAGACCCATCTATTAGTTGGTAAAATCTTGAATGATACTGGGCAACATTAATGTGATTGAGAATTCTAAGAGCATGACTAGGATGAATTTAAACATGTGTTCTTCCTGAGGTTTGAAGAATTTGAGAACAAACACCAGGAAGCTGTACTTTCTATGGCAGGTCATAAGATCCCATTACATTCAATAGCCCTCACTGGATATTTATGTTTAAAATAATGACTGTATTCTATAATTAACATGCTCCCTTTTGGATAAAGTGGGTTTTTTTCTTTTTTTTTTTTTAAGTATTGTCTTCTTTAGATTTGGCTGCCATTTAGAACTATTATGCATTCATTTTCTGTTTTTTTTCTTTCCAAGTTGTTTGACCAAATCTCTTTCCAGCTATGTCACTGAAACATGTTCTTTAGATTCCTCATCTTTAAAGTGAGCGGTTTAGATTTGATGATTTAGAAGGTCTCTTCCATTTCTAAATGTTTTGAAGCTGTAAAATGCTCTGTGTGAAAACACTTTGTTAATTATGTAGGATAGTAGTGGTGTTGACATTTAAAATATACTAAACCTTAATTATGATGTCACCATCATGTTACTAAATCATCACTTGTTATAAATTTTGATAATATAATAGAATTATATTTTAGTATCTAGAGTAATTTTCTAGATTTTCTTAATTGTGATAAGTCACCATCATGTACTAAATCAACACTTGTTATAAATTTTGATAATAGAATTATATTTTAGTATCTAGAATAATTTTCAGAATTTTTTAAGCAAGATCTTTGAGCATTAAACAGTGTCTAAGATATATAAGATATATAGTTTTTCACTCTGGTAAACTAAGGATAAGCTAGATATGCTCATTTTTAGACTACTTTGTCTCCCAGATTCAGCACTGAATTTTAAACCTGGAAGTTTATATTTTATGCTCCTACCATTCATCTTTAAAATTAATTTTTTCACTTGAAAGACCTATTTATGCTTTAGCTTTACTAAATTTATAAAATAAACATAATATTTCTTTGTTCAAGGTTGAAGCAGGTGTCTTCCTCTGTTTTGATAAAGTCCATTAAAATTTGTTCAGGAAAAAGGGTACCTTTTTAGGTAAAAATCTTGTATCATTTCTGAATGAGTACAGATTTTGGAACAGTAGAGTATGAATTAAAGTTTTCCTTTCAAAACTAACAAAATTACAGTGCATATAATTCATTTTATACCTTCTAATGCATATAAATATTTTTCATTTATTTACTCTAGTAATAGATGAAGAAAATAAGCTTCATAATGAAAAGGGTGTTTGATTAGTTAGAATTACAGTATTTTGCTTTATGGGGAGTAAACTAGATCTTGTTTGCTTTTTAGTAACTAAATTTTAACAGGAGGAAACCTAAGTCAAAAACTTTCTTAGGAACATTTCTCTGATGTTCTAATTTTCTTAATCTCTGTTTTAGGACTCATTGTCAGCCTAGAAAAGGAACTTGCTCCGTTATTTGAAGAATTGAGACAAGTTGTGGAAGTTTCTTAATCTGGCAGTGGTTTTGATGTACACTTTATTTTCATTATAACCGACAAAATATCAATCCAGCAATCTTTAGACCACAACAGTCCTTGTATCCATGTACTCAAGAAAAGGTCCCTTTTCCCACCTGACACTAAAGAAAGAGCCCATAGAAACAATTTATGGACAGACTGATTTTTATCTTTTCTTGTGTAGGGTCTTTTCTTGATGTAGTGAGATCTGGGGTTACCACAGAGATGGTTCAGTACGTCACAGCTCCCATGGAGTTAATCCAGTCACAAATATGCATGAGATTCTATTCAGTGGGTCAGAATCAAAATGGTACTTTGATCCACTTAAGCCATGAAGTGCTCCCTATTATATAGTATGCCCAGGCCTGCAGAATGAGGCAGACCCTTTTTATTGTGAATAGTAATGAGGACATATTTTTCTTTATATTGTTTTATTTCTTTGCATTGAGTGTGAGGAAGATAAAATGGCTTAGTAAAATAAAATCAGTACAATCACTAACTTTTCTTGTATATATTATTTTACAATATAGATGAATATTACTAATTGATTTGATTCTTCTCAGAGGGTGCTGTGCTGCTCTTTAATTAAATTGAAAATGATAGCTAATGTTTTTTTTCCTCCACTCTGCTTTCTATAACCAGTCAGTGTTTTAATGGTTGTGTGTTCTTTATAAAATTTAGAAGTGATTCATAATTGAATTCTGCTTCCCGTATTGGTATTTATGTAAACATGGTAGTAAAGCCATTTTTTTCATACGTAAGTATAAATAAAATAGTATTTTTTAAGTATACTTTGAACACTGAATAGGTTTCTTTCCTGGCTTCTTTCAAAAGTTTAAAGACTATAATTAACTGAATTCACTTTCAACTATGTGCATAAGCAGTGAGTGTTGCTTGTAGATACTGGTTTGGAGACAGATTTACCTGGTGTCAGTTGGAAAACAAACCTTATCCATGAGCTTCATTTAATCTCTACGAAAGAAGTATCTTGGTTCTAGAATATGCCCTTTATATTCAGGAAGGCAGTCCATCATTGAGAGTTGTTGGTTTCCTCCTAGGTTCTTTGACAATCAGAGTTAGTCACGGGAGGAGTTCAGTGCATGTGCATTGAGCGCCTAGGTGTGCCATGTACCAGAGCGGCCACGTTGCAGGGTTCGAGGAGTATAATTCACATCCTGTTTCTGGGCTCCAGGGCCTCTCATGGGCAAGGTGTGAATGCTGTCCCTGTAGTTGTACAGTGAGGAGTCAGCCAGCACAGGTAGTGCTTGCTCCTCCCTCCCTACCTCTGTCCCTTCCCCTCTCTCCATTTCCTTTTTATGCAAATATGAAACTAAATTGTGGTTCCTTCCTTTAAAGAACTTAGAGCTCAGTAAATAAAGACAGGTAGAGGAAGTACTGTGATAAAAGCTCTGCAGCTGTCAAGCTGTAGAGTTCCAGAAGGGGGGCATTTAAATTGGCAGGAGAGACAGCCTGTGTGGGGACAGAGAGGCAGGAGGGCATGTCTGACCTGCAGGGAGCTAGAAATAGTTCAGAAAACCTAATAATGCATGCTCTACACCCGTTACCATCTAGAATTACCCCCCAAATAAAATAAAATCTAGACTTCCCATTATCTGGATTATTGAATAGTGTTCAGGACATCATTGCTAATGTGTAATATAGAACTTTAATTTCAGGGAATAATTATTGTAGACCTAAAAATCCCAGAAAAGGAAACTATCCTAAATGGAGGTATGTTTAACCTTTGCATGGTGAATACTGCTACTATTAAAATTTCTGTTTGAAGGAGTAGATAAGTTGCTCAACAGTTTATGTGGGAAAATAGGTAGATGATCACTAAGGGATGTTTGCAAAGCTAATGCAAAACTAGATGAACTACTTTTATTTATTCATTTATTTATTTTAAATATTTTACTTATTCATTTGTCAGAGAGAGAACACAGGCTGGCAGAGGGAGAGGCAGACTCCCGCTGAGCAGGGAGCCTGATGCAGGGCTCGATCCCAGGACACTGGGATCATGACCTGAGCTGAAGGCAGGTGCTTAACCGACTGAGCCACCCAGGAGCCCGGGTGAACTACTTTTAAAAGGTAGTCTAAACTTCATAATTAGATCAGTGGAACAGACTTAGCCAGAAACAGATTTTGGTAGATACATGAGGACTTAAAACATTTTGAGGACGACTTAAGTCTGTGCAAAAAAGATTATTCAGTAAGTAGGACAGGCATTTTTTATGCCTTGCTGGTAGAAGTATATATTGTTATATACCCTTTATATAGGACTGTTTGCCAATCTCTGTGAAACTTGCAAATGCACAGAACTTTGGCCTAGTGTATTAGGATTCTCTAGGGCAACAGACCCAGTAGGATACACGTTTTTTATTATGTACAAGTTTATATTATATATGTCACACAAATGTAAAAGACTTATTGTGAGGAATTGGCTCTCATAATTCCTGGAAGCCGAGACCTGCCATGGTCTGCCATCTGTAAGTGGGAGAACCAGGGGAGCTAGTAGTGTGAATTCCAGTGAGGCCAGATGAGATGAGATTTCCCAGCTCAAGGCAAGCAAAAGGGGCAAATTCCTTCTTGCTCCAGCTTTTGTTTTAGTCAGGGTTTCAGTAAATTGGATGATGTCCACCCCCACCATAGAGGGCAGTCCACTTGTCCATAGCTTGAATGCTAGAGGAACATCCCCCCAGACCTGAAATAATGTTGATTTGGGCACCCTGTGGCCAGTTGTTGATAAAAAGTCACCATACCCAGCAATTCCACTTCTAGAAATTTCTACTGATGTAAATGGACATGTGCAAAATTATATATTTGTAGGTATATTCGTTGCAACTTGGTGATATTAGGAATGAAAACAACCTAAGTAGGGGCGTCTGGGTGGCTCAGTGGGTTAGGCCTCTGCCTTCAGCTCGGTTCATGATCTCAGGGTCCTGGGATCAAGCCCATGTTGGGCTCTCTGCTCGCTGAGGAGACTACTTCCCCCTTTCTCTCTGCCTGCCTCTCTGCCTACTTGTGATCTCTCTGTCAAATAAATAAATAAATCTTTAAAAAAAAAAAAAGAAAACAACCTAAATATCCCATCATAGATAGGTTGAGCCCTATGTTCTGCACTTCCTAACAGTACCAGATTATACCTGCTATTTTTTGTGTAATTATTAATGCTCCTTTTCTCTCTCTCTCTTTTTTTTTTTTTTAAGATTTTTATTTTAGAGAGAGGGGGAGGGAGACAGAGGGGGAAAAATCCCAAATAGACTCTGTGCCAAGCCTGCCATGGGCTCTATCCCATGACGCTGACCTGAGCCAAAACCAAGAATGGGTCACTCAGCTGACAGCCACCTTCGCAGCCCTGTGAATGTTCCTTTCAACTCTTAAGTGTCCTCTTTAGATGAGAAACTATTTAGTCACCCTAATCATAGAGGACTGGTTAAATAAATTACTACATTTGCCCAATGGGGAAAAGAATGGAGAAGTGCTTTAGTTACAGAGATAGAAATGCAAGACATGATGTTCAAAGAGAAAAGCAGAATGTGAAATTGCATGGTGTACTGCAGTTTATATATAAGAAGAAAAAATATACGTGTACATTGATGTTTGATTGTGTATGAGAGGAGGACATGGTCATACTGGTAGCCTCCAAGGAGTGGAGCTAGATACCTGGGGCACAGGGATCCCGGAAATGAGCCTTTTCACTGTAAACCACATTGGTGGTTTTTTAATTTTTCACTTCAAAAATCATAAAATATTCCAGCAAACAGAATTTATAAAAATATGATGATAGGGTATTTGGAGAAGAAAATTCTATCAGTCAAGGATTGCCAAAGAAACAGAAGCAGGATAGATAGGTATTAAATGTATTTCAAGGAACTGGTTTATGTGATTGTGGGAAGTGAGTGGTCCAAAATCCATAGGGCAGGCCCGAAGTTTGGGCAACCTCAGGAGGGAGCTGCGGCTGCAGTCTTCAGGCAGAAAGCTTCTGATTTCTTCATGGAAACCTCTATTTTGCTCTTAAGGTCGGCCTTTCAACTGACTGGATGAGGCCTGCTCATATTAGGGAAGATAATCTCTTTATTTAGATTCAGTGGATGGTAGATAGGTGCTAAGCACATCTATAAAATAACACTGCCACATGTAGATTTGTGGTCTGTTGAATAACAGGGCACTGCAGCCTTGCTAAGTTGATACCTAAAACCTTCACAGTCTGCACTTGTTAGCTTGGCATTATAGACATCTTCCTGAAGCACACTTAACGTCCAAATAAAGTCCGTAACCAAGTTGTATTTCTGTCATCAAACATCAAACAACTAACCCACATACGGAGGACATGTTCCCTCTCCCCAGAAGAGGATGCAGAGTTCTTGGTTCTCCTTCCTATATTACAGTTTAAATGCTGTGATGTAAGGTTAACCATTTTTAATACGTCTTATGTTAGATGATAAGATGGTACAAGAGGAAAGGAAACTTTGCTAAATATGTATTTATAATACATATTTATGTACACACATTCATAACAAAACAAGGAAGAAATGTAATAATCACAGTCCTTGTCTCTCAACTGAGTGTGTGATTGTAGCTGGTGTTTATAATTATCTCCCATTACCCCACGCCATACTCCCTGTGCCCTCAGCAAGCCCCTCAGCTGGTTACAGCTCTGCCTGTGGGGTGGCCCAAACCTTTATTCCTGAAGAATCCAAGCCATGGGCTGTCCTGCCTGAATTGGATTATAGTTTTCCACTGACTTCCATCACAGGACTCGGTGGCACTGAGATCCCCTAGATGTCCTGTGTAAACATACTCTTCCATGGTGCAGTCACAGCCCAGTTTCCCCCTGGTAATGAGGCTGTCACACCCACCAGTACAGCCATTCCTCCCTTACCTGTTGAATCACAGATAGGAGCCCAAAGCTGGTAGCAGTCTTAATGTCCAGTTGAATAGATACATCATTGTTCTCCTGCTGGAAGGAAGCATTCCTCCCTTTGGAACAAGAACCCCTAAACTAGCACAGCCTAAGAACCTGGGGATACTGCCCCTGCCCAGCCAGGCATTGCCACCCAGGGAGTGCTGTAACTGAGTCTTCAAAACGCCATTCCACCATTCTGTTGGGCCTGCTGCTTCAGGATGAGAAGGAACACGGTAAAACCAACAAATTCCATGAGCAATATGAGAAATCTGTTACTTCCAAAATCCAAAGAGGCCCAGTAGGTATTGTGCCTCTTTTTTGGTTTTGAAAGGGGCCAGATGCAACAAGTTACCCTTTATCCCAGAAAAGCTCTCTTGACCTGTCCCATGCCACCGGACCCCAAGAATCTCAGTGAGGTGGAAAGCTCCTGAATTTTTGCTGAATTTATCTCCCACCCTCAAACACATGATCTTACCGCTATGTCTAGAACAGTTGCTACTTCTTGTTCCTTAGGCCCAATCAGCATCATGTCCTCATCAATGCAGTGGACCCATGCAATGTTACGAGAAATGTGATCAAGGTCGGTATGGACTAAAAGATGGCATAGAGCTGAACTGAAGTCGGATAAACCTCCGAGACAGGATGGCGAAAGGCGGCTGCTGACCTTTCCAGATAAAGCCAGCTGCTTGTGGTAGTCTTTACCAATAAAAAAAATAATTTGCCAGATCAATAGCTGCATGTCAGGGACCAGAGGATGTGTTAACCTCCTCAAGCAACGGAATCGTATCTAGAACTGTAGCTGCAGTGGGTGTTGCCACCTGATTGATAATCCACTGTCATTCTCCAAGATCCATCTATTTTCCGCACGGGCCAGATGGGTGGGCTGCATGAGGATGTGGTGGGAAATCGCCTGCCCTGCATCCTGCAAGTCGTTGATGGTGACACCGAGCTCTGAGACCCTTCCAGAAATGTGGTATTGCTTCTGGCTTACTGTCTCCCCGGTCAAGGCAGTTCTGGTGACTTATGTAGTACACGTTATATTATAAGTTAGTTTGACCTCTTCATGTCAGAACCCCTCCAAAAGTGACTCTACCCCTGCTGAGGTGTACTCTCTCCATCACAGAGCTTCAAGTGCCTCACGTGCAGAATTTGTCTTATTTACTTCGATACGTTATCATATATATATACTCTTTTTCCATATTTAACTGAGAACTCCTTCAGGACCGGGACTGGCTCTTCAACCCCAAATTCTCTGTAGCACACAGTCTAATGGAAGTGGGTTCTCTTCATGGCCATTTATGACATTAATCAGTCGTTATTTCTTTTTAAATTACAGATATTAAAAATATATTTTATTAGCAAAATGTTACAGGCACAGCAAAATGCTTGTTTTAATAAACTTAGCCAAATAATATAAATAAACATGGCATATTTTACAAAAAGTAAGGACAGTAATATTACCTGCACAAAGAAAAACTCTGGGTTCTATGAAAACAAAACCTGAACCACTCATCTCAGTGAGGATTCATTTGCAACTCCTTACTTGGCGAACCTGACAGAATACATTTTAACTTGACATTTGCTTTATCTCATGTGATACACACATAACAAAATACATTAAAAACCTTGTGGAAATATACAAAAATGTAACTTCGGAGTTCCGGATGTTTAAATAACAAGAAACATATCAATCAAGTTATGCACTTGGACTGCAAAAGCAGTGTTGTAGCAGATCTCTGCGCCACACTCGTTATTCTGGGCCCTCCCTCCACTTTTATCTCCCTTCAAACGTCTACCTAAAAAAGCAGTATTAATAAAGATAAGAGAAGGGGTTAGAATCTGTGAGCTCTGGATGCCAGCATCATATTTCCTGATTTCAACCCCCTTATTCTAGCTTGCAAATGCGGTGTAACACGTCATCGTATAATTCATGTGGATTTAGTGTTGCTCCTTCAACTGACCACGGAAGTCTGCTCTTGAGGAAGGGCTCAGGGTGCTCAGCGATCTCAGAGCTAAGGGGCTTCTTACCTCCCTTCAGCCAACAGGGACCGCTCACCCTGGGGGGAGAGACTGGCATAGCACCCTCTTCTCTGCCTGAGAAGTCTCTCCGTATGTGTGCAGAAATGTTGGATGGAGACAAGCTGGTGCTTCCAAGTGCTCTATTATTGTTATAGTGCTAATAGTAATCATGCCGACTATTGTTAATAAACTAACTACAAATTATCTACTATTTTATTCCCTTCCATTTATGTTTTCTTATTCTTTAATACCGTCCCCCCCCCCCGCACCCCACTCCGCCAAATGATTAAGAGATGTTTTTTAGGTTTTACCTCCCTTTATCTTTCTCATCCTATCTGAGGTTCTACAGGACATTTAGTTCACACAGATTTATCATTAGAAGGGAAGGCAGCACCCACTAGATTTCTGAGCCTTTAACGAAGAGAAAATAAATAACCGCAAACATTTCCCATTTTAGTTTTGGAAATGTTTTGTTTTCTGTATAAAGAAAAAAAAAAAAGCAAAAAGAATGCACGCACCCACCCACCCCACCCCACCCCGCCGCCAAGTCTTTGGTGTTTGCTAGTTGCATACACTTTCTATAGAAGCATCAGAGGACATAGCTGTTCCCTTCCTGGTGGACAGCACAACCTGGATGTCAGATGAGCTGACCATGATGCAGAATGAGACCCCAGGCAACTAATGTCAACCAGCTAGGGGACCGCAGTGAGGGAAAACAAAAACCCTTGATCTTCTCTCGCCCATTTTAAGAGTGAGCATGCCTGAGTTGGTGGTGTCATCAGTTCCCATCAGAACGGTGATGCTTTGGTATTCTCAAGGAGACGACAACATCTTGAAGGGCAAGCAGTGACCCATGAGTTCACAAATGCGGTGGGTTCTGAAAGGTCCGAACCCGCATCTGCATTCGATTTGTTTCGAAAGAAAAATCCTTAACCTTCCTCTGAAGCCTGCTGCAGATCACAGCATCAGGGACCATGCCGCCCTGGTCCTGGGTCAGGACATCCTGGGTCAGGAAAGGTCTATTTAAAGATGAATGACCGAGATCGGATTGTGCCTTCCCTTTGGTCGAGCTGCTTTCTTATTTGAGACTTTAATAAAGCAAACACATATGCGTATTGATTATTGAGCAATTTAAGATAACGAACTTAACATTAAATAAGACATGCTGTTACTAAGGACACTATGCAACTAAATCAACATGTGACAATTTTCAGTATGGTTTTCTTATTTTTCTCAGGATAAATATTGTAAAGTCACTGCTAAAACATACAAACTGGGAATTGGCCTAAGACTTAGGTAATTCATTAAATGCAGTACTACTCAATGAATCAAAATGAATACTTGGGTCTAAATTTATTGATAGGGAATATTGTTTATTATACATCGTCAGTGGAGTGCACAGGTAAAGAACACTAATGAATGATTAATTTTTTGTTTTTGAATATTTATTTGTATAGGGAGAAGTCTACAAGTATGTGAATCTGATCTATTTTTGCCTTAATTTTTCTCTAATAATGTGTCATTTGCATAATTACAACATACGAAGAATAAAAAGTTCATTCATATCTGAGCAAATGTTTCACATGCCAAAGTATTACTCCACTCAATATCAAATACACTGAGACTGTCTCAAAATGAGTGGTGTATTTATTTGGGTTTCAAGCTGAAAACATAACCAAAAGCAAAAGTGCCTGCATCTAGAAAAGAATATTCAACGAGTTTCTATGTGTCAGTTAATTACATAAAAACAGATAAAAAAATATAGGACTAACGACTCACTAAGACTAATGTACTTGAGGGCTTGAGGCTAAGGCTCTGGGGCTGAGATCCCAGTGCAGCTCTGTCCTTTCTCTTTTACCCCCGTCTGCATGCCTTCTTTGTCTTTCAGGAATGAACAACTACTCCATAAACCTGTCAGTGGACATCCCATTGACTCTAGGGATAGTCCGACAGTTTTAGTAGCAATATGTTTGAAATCATCACTATGTTACTTCTGAGTACTAGGCATCCAGAGGATTTGTGTAACTCACCAGTTTCCAACGTAGTATCTTGATCCACTCATCAGCTTCTACTCCTGTCTTTGCACAGAGATAAAATGTCCTGAATGGAAACACCAAGCTGATAAGACAAAAGAAAAACTTAAGATATTCCAGGTGGTTGGTTGAACATATTAGTTGAACAGAAATTAGACTATTCAACAGAAAAAAAGAATCAATAAAGAGCAACCTGAAGACTTGGTAGATACAGAGCGATTCCTGCCAGCAAATGGCAGAAATGTTGAGGAAGCTGGAGACTCATATTATTATCACCGGCCAGATTTGTATTTTTGAATGAGAATTCAAAAAAGAAAACATGTCCAGGACATCCCCAGATCCTTTTGTCACTGACGTCTTTGACTGAATACACTTGTGTGCTCATTCAGCTGATGTGTTAAATGACTCAGAACCTGTACCATGAGTCAAAGAATAAGCAGGACAGATAAGAATTTACTTAAGAAACTCATTTGTGTTGGCTCGATTCCATGAGAAATAAGCTATCCTCTGTGGATGTAAGCAGTTTTGACTATCTGGGACAGGAAAAAAAAGATAATAAATCTCATCAACTATTCTTTTTGCCTACTCTGTAATGAGTTACTCTCTGCTAGAAGAAGACAAACTCTCCTACTGGCATGAACAGCTTATTCTAGAACTATGGTAACTCAATGATTCATTGACTCTCTTTGGCTCTATGGGCAAATCTTTTGACTAATAAGGTCAGCTTTAACTTACATCTTGCCCATACTTCCTGTCCTTACAGCTGAGATGCAAAACACTTCAAATCCTTTTTCCCTGCCTCTCATGGGGGAAAAAAAAAAAAAAAAAGCTTCGAACTGAAATTCAGGAGGGTTTCTATATTCTAGAACCAAAGCACCGTATCTTGTTCGTGTCTGTAATTCGTGTTGAATAGACAAGACCTAAGTCCCTGTGTGTAGAAGATAAACCTTGACATGAGGTCCTGTTGGGTGGTGAGGGGACAGTGGGACTGGGGTGCTGTTAACCTGTCACATTGTGCGAAACTGCTTTCTGGAATTGTCATTGCTCAGTACTCCCTGTGAGAGACATTATTAATCGCCTATTAATGCAGATAATTTTCCCTTTCTTCTTGCTAACAGAGCCCCAGGCAATAAATGGTAATTAGTTGGAGCCAATTATGATCTTACTAGTTTTCTAGCTTCCCCTGTTGCTAGCGATGGCCATGGGACCTAGCCGTGGCCAATGAGATGGGAGGGAAAACCCAATAGAAGATTTCTGAGAAAATGTCTGCCTTCCTGATAAAAAGGGACAGATATGGCTGATACCATCCCTACATCCTTCTTTGTGACTGACCTGAAAATGTGAGGGCTACAGCTAGAGTAGCTCTCTTGGACAATAAAGTAGCAAGTGAACTGCTAAAGCCCAAGAGAACTGTAGAGACGCTGGTACCGATCTTGTCAAGCTAGCTGTCTATTTTGTTATATAAGAAATAACCCGCCCCACTGGCTTGTGTGGTACATTTACGTGAATTTTAAAAAGATATCCGTTATTGGTTGAGGTTAATGTTAATTAATTAATATTAATTTGGGGGAGTATGTAATGTGGCATTTTTATTCTTAGGAAATGCATACTCAGGTATATAGGGGTAAAGTGCCATTGTACCTCCAACTTACTCTCAACTGGTTTAGGAAAAAAGTGAATCAAAGATAAAGCAGGTACAACAAAATATTAATGATGCATGTAGCTGAAAGCTATATGGGTACGTAAGTCTTTCAGCATTTGTACATTTGAAAAACATTAAAATAAAACTTTGTGGGAAATAAGACACTCCTTTTGCAAGACACTACTTCTCCTAGTTAGAAAATTGTCATGATCTACTAATGAGGTTAAACAAAAACACTTTTCTGCCATCTGCCAGAAATTGTCATAATAATATAAATCACCCACTGTTGGAGTCAAATTTAAAATTAAAATTGAGTAAAAAACTTAAAAGGGATAAAACATGAATGGAATCCTGTTATGTATATACTTATATGGTACACAACATAAACAGCTGTAGCCACTGGGCCTGCCTATTTAAGTCACTTTATTTATTTTTAAGGATTTTATTTATTTGAGAGAAAGCATGAGCAGGAGGAGGGGGAAGGGCAGAGAGAGGGAGAAGCAGACTCCCCACTGAGCAGGGAGCCTGATGTGGGGCTCCATCCCAGGACCCTGAGATCATGACCTGAGCTGAAGGCAGACCCTTAACCAACTGAACCCCCCAGGCACCTCCCAGTCTAAGTCACTTTAAATGAGATATTATGTCATAGTCAGCTGGAAGCACTGCTGATATATATACATGCCCTGTGTGCTAGTTAAATCCATGCCCCTCAGATCAAGACACTCATTTACATTAAGATATACAGGTTTTTCTTTAATTCCCCAGCTAAAATAATTGGCAAGAAGACTTTTAAAATCATTTTCTTTACAAAACAACTTACCAAAAACAGTTTACTCTTTCCTGTGAATAATCAAATTGCACAGCCGAACATTCTGTCAAGTCTAGGATCCGAATTGGTTCTGGTGACTTGAAAAAAAAAGCAACCTATGTCATCACAAAAAAAGAACACACAAATTTGCTCACCCCTTAGTCCCCTAAAAGTCTTCCACTGTGTGCACCTGTCAATTTTACTTTCACTAAGGAGACTGATCACAGAGACACTTACTCAGGTTAGTTATAACCCCTGGTTTGGGGGTTGGCTATTCATGAGACTGGATGTTGGGAAGATCGTCTTTATCAATTTAAATTTAGTGGAGGTATTTTAAACATGGAAGGGAGTCATATTTTCTTTCATGTTTTTAAACTCGTGCTTTCTCAGAAATTTTGTATAGGGAAAGTGAGAAGAAATAAAATAATTTCAAATTGGCTTAATGAAATGGGCATGGGAAATGGACATGGGTTTTTTGGTTTTTGTTTTGAGTAGGCTCCATTCCCAGCATGGAGCCCAGTGCAGGGCTTGAACTCACCATCCTAAAATTAAGACCTGAGCCAAGATCAACAGTGGTATGCTTAACCAACTGAGCCACCCAGGCATCCCAGAAATTGACATACTTTTTTTAAATTTTTTAAATATTTTATTTATTTATTTGTCAGAGAGAGCACAAGCAGGGGGAGCAGCAAAGGGAGAGGGAGAAGCAGGCTCCCCACCGAGCAGGGAACCCAATGTGGGGCTCCATCCCAGGACACTGGGGTCATGACCTGAGCCAAAGGCAGACGCTTAACCGACTGAGCCACCCAGGCATCCTGGGGACTTATTTTTAGTAAAACAAGAAACTGCAGCAGAGAGAGCTCATACATCATGACAAGAGAATAACTCCATTGCCCTAAACAAGGGGATGATGTATCCTGGGGAGCTAGTTTAGCTAGTTTCTGGGACACACATCTCATCCTTGCAAAAGCACTCTGCTCAAGGTTCCTGGCTGACTGGCAAAGCATGCTGCTCTTGATCTTGGAGCATGAGCTCGAGCCCCACGTTGGGTGTAAAGCTTACTTAAAAAGAAAAAAAACTCCGCCCCTATCAGGAATCAAGAATTCACATTTCCAGTCATTTATTGGTGTTTCAGGAGCTCATAAGGAAAATTCCAGAGATTTCAAAGGCAGATGTTCCTTGCATCTAGAAAGCTGATTTTTTGTTGTTGTTACTGTGTTTATTAGTTAGAGCTGATTTTTAAAGGGAAAATGTGTTATCATATTTCTCACCATCTGGTCTTTGAAGTATTTCAGTTCATTCCTGTGCAACGTGAACCATCTTGTTTTCCAGGTCTGAGGAAAAAAAATAATTAAAACATGTAGGTTTTGAATTGAGGAAGACAATATTGAACTGGACGATTTCCTTTCACTTGAAAAGTATCTAAAAGATTAGATACAATAAAACATTGTGTGGTAAGTCATTTCTGAAGGGAAGTTTCAAAATAGCTACAAAAACTAAAATGAGTCCATGCATGAAGTTCATAATGAAGGCAGAGATATTGACATATTTAAATAAATAAGAAGAAATAGCCTGTCATAAATATGCAAGGTGTTATAACAAACCACTAGATATCTGTCTTATTAACTCTATGATAAGAACAAATACCATTTTGTGGGCACCTACTATGGGCTAGATACTATCTAGCCAATCTTAATACAATGCCAAATAGTCTCATTTCACAAATATGCAAACTGAAGTTCGGGAACCTCAAACCACAGGATTTTCTAAGACTTGCCTAAGAGCTCCACGGTATTGGTGGTGGGAACTGTTGTTCCCCACCTTCCCTCTCTTATGTACTAATAGAACCCTCCCGTTATCTTGGGCAGCAATGTATCCAGTTAAAAGAAGTAACAGAGAACTTAAAAATAAATATGCCACGAATATAAATACTTCCTATCCTTGGGGAGCATCCAGTCTAGTAGGGACACAAATAACCAAATATTTAGGTTGAATGCAAGCAGGCCAGTACCCAGGAGAGAGGTTAAGTGCCCTGACTCTTAAAATAGGGAGGAGTAGACATATTCCATGAAGGCCTTCTTGGATATTAAAATGAGGCATCATAACTTAAAAAATACAATTACATCAATGGAGGGACAGTTGGATACCCCAGACTCGTAAAGTTTTGTGTTTTCTTTAGGATTTTATAACAGAATTACATTAATGCCATAATGTAACACATAATGACGTTTTGGCCTACTTTTAGGCTAACATTTTATGCAATTTTGACTTCTTAGTTTAAAAAAAAAAAAAAAAAGAAAAGAAAAGAAATATTCTAGAGTTCACTTGCTACTTTTCATCCTGGCTTGTTCCATTTAAAGGACTGTACGTTTTGGGAGGTCTTAATGGTAGACTACTCTCACACATTTGACTTTGCCAAAGAAAAGTCAAGTGATTTTCCAGAATTTTGGCTAATACTAGTCATAAAGACCAGCTTTTGAAACAGAAAAATAGTGCAGCAGCTCAAAATAGGCAATTGTGCTTTTTAAAAATGTCAAAGTGAGAATCGAGTCTACAGGAGCTGTCTCTCTGTGTGGCCGGGGCTAGCAGAGACATGTTTCCTTACCTTGACCAGGCCCCCCTGTTTGGTGAGGTAACCTTCTTTGGTGCCCAGCTGAAAAAGAAAGAAGCACCAAGTGAAGTCCAGAACTATCGCCACATGATTTGTCTTTCTATTCCTGTCCCATTTTAAAATGAAACACCAGTTTGCCTTTGATCTTTAAATAATCGCCCTACATTCTTCACCGAGACACTTGAAAATCCTCCCTGTGTTGTGAGAGACTGTTTTCAGATTGGGTCGTTGGTGGGGAGTTCTGTAGCAAGAGGCAAAAACTCAAAGACTCTTCTAACTTGAGTTAGCAATTTGCAAACAATAAGCCACATCCCATCACTTCTAAAAGCGTTGGGCAGAGTGTGTCATGTAAAACCCAGCTGCTTAAATTGTTGCAGGGGTATTATGCACAAATGCGTGCCCAAGTGTGTGCACACTTTGACATTGGGTCACACACACACATTGACATTGGGTCAATGCATTTGGAAAACTTTGGATGAAGTAGAGGGATTTCTTTACTTCCCAGAGAATGTATTCTGCCAGTATGCCTTGTGAATTTTAAGAGGGGACATGAGAAATAGCATATCCAATATTTATTTTATCACATGAACCTCCCCCATTACAGCCCTCCCCCCACCTTTTTTTTCAGAGACTGTCTCTTGAGACCTCTATTCTGTGGAAAAGACTTCCAGGAATGCAGATTTATTTACACTTGATTTATCCAAAGGGGATCTGAAGTGACAATGAGTCATTTCTTAACTCACACAGCATTAATTCAAGGGTAATAACATCACACATGTAGCTAGTGCCTATAAAATGTAAGCAATGGTAGAGAACCATGCAAATAGAAATATGCATAAAATAAGGACCCTAAGATAAAGAAATTTAGAACTTCATAAATTCCCAAAGAAACTGTAGGACATTTTGTTCTAGTATGGTGTTACACTGTTTCTTACACCGGTAGAATAACAGAACAAAGAGAAAAAATTTGCAGAAGTAAAGGGAATAGAAATCTCAAAACAGGGAAGCTAAGGAAACTGACAATTTAGATTGGGACCTATTCTATGTCAGGTTTGCGAATCAGATCATCTCAATCTCCACCAACACAACCAATTGGTATTTCACGTTTCCTGGGTCCAAAACAGAACTGCTCATTCCCATCCCCCAAACGCAACTCCACCATCTTGGTAAACAGCAGGAGGACCACTGTGAGACTCTATTGCACATCTCACATTCGATCTGTCCTAAGTCTCGTCTCTTCTACCTCACAGAACACCGTGAAGTTCACCAGTTCTTACCCCTGTGTAGTTTCAACTATCACCATCTCTCACTGGACTGCTCCAACAGCCCCCTCACCGGTGTCCTTCCTCCAACTTCGGCCACATTCCATTTTCCACTTAGCAGGGGCAATGAGCTTTTTAAAAATTTTAAGACTTAAATTATGTTGCTCTAAACTCTTATAATTTCTCCTGGACATTTAAAACAAAAATCAGTCCTTTATCTTGTCGTACAAGGCCTTTCACGTTGTTTAAATGTGACACAGCTGACGTTTTGGACAGGAGAATTCTTCCCCATGTATGGCAGCATATTTAGCCTCCGTGGTCCCTGCCCATTGCTGGGAAACAATTCTCCAGAGCTCTCATGTCTCTGTGTGTCTTATAAGCAAGGCACTAATAGCCCTTTGTTCCAGACCCATTTTTATTTTTTTAAATGTTTTTTTATTTATTTGAGAAACAATTTTTTCTTTGAGAAATAGAGGGTACATGAGCAGAGGAGAGGGGAAGGGGGAGAGGGAGAAGCGGACTCTGCACTGAGCAGGGAGCCCGATGTGGGGCTCAATCCCAGGAGTCTGGGATCATGACCTGAGCTGAAAGCAGATGTTTATATGACTGAGCCACCCAGGTGCCCCACAGACCCATTTTTAAAACATGTTCTTAGGGCAAACAACTTTAGAAGATGGAGACAGTGTCTCCTTCCAGAGGAAATGACAGCCAACCAGCAGTCTGCCGTGACGCCGTGCAGCTCTATTAGTGTGCAAGCAGGCTAAAGTGTCAGGCTCTTCATAGCTCCCAATACCCGCTAATGCCAGCAGCGCCCCAAAGCACTGTGAATTTCCCAGCACTCAGCTGAGGGATGGGCCCTTTGAGAAAACCACCACCTGACATGACTGACCCCTCCTTCCCTCAACAACCTCATCTCCTACCACATTGCCTCTCCCCACTTCATGCCAATCATTATAATTTTCTTGCTAATCTTCAAAACACCTCAATTCAGTTCCCACCTCGGGCTTTTGCACTGTTCTCTCTCCCTGCGACACTAGAAAATGTTGATCGTTTTCTGCCTGTATTAATGCACAATAAACTCCATGGATTTGTCATCATACAGTGTGGGTGCAGCCATGCCCCACCAATCCCTCAATATTGTTTTAAAAACTCCATTATACAGAACCTTCTGTGCACAAGCATACTGAGATACTTGGGCAGGAGAACCTGTCAGATCCTTGGAGTGTGCAAAGAAGGTAGGCAATAAGGCTTGCAGAATTTGTTTTCAAGACGTCTGTCTCTACCTAAGGATGCTAGCTCTCCTGCTCACAGGTCTACAGATTAGATCCTACATTTTACTGTTGATAAAGAGCACACATAGTAGGGTATATGGTACAACTGACCCTGGGTGGGGATCTTTAAGGGAAGGGTAACTGAGGAGAATGTGAAGTTACATGGAGAGGACAGATGAACGAGATGTTGAGGTGACTGGTGGGCAGGAAAGTCGGGGAGGGGTGGGTTGGCTGGAAATTGAAGAATCAATTAGGACGTAAGGCTTGACTTTTTCTTTGGTCCGTTTGGACTTGGGACTATTTATGGTCTTGCTTTCCTCAGTTTTGCTAGTTCTGGGGTTTCATGCTTCCTCCTCCAACTCTAACAAAGCTAAATAAAATACCTCCTTCAACCATTTCCAGGATTTTTATTTTTGATTCGATGGGGCACAGAAACAGAAATGTAACGTGCGCCATGAACCAGGCTAGGCTCCAAAAAGCCACAAAGACAAGTTATGATTTTTGTCCCCAGAAATGTTAGGCCCACAAGGGGGTGGGGAAGGGGGTGAGCAGACACATGCGCAGGTGTTAGCAATGCCCTTCTGCCCTGCCCCATGAGGACTGCAGGGTAAAGGCAAGCAGAGGGTGCTGGGAACACAAAAGAGGGCCATTTTAAAGAATGCTAGGAGGGGCCCAGGAGGGCATCCTGAGAGATACTGGTCTCTGACATCCGTCTTCAAGGCTGATGAAGGGACAGCCACCATGTTGGCACATGTCAGTGACGGGGAGGGGAGAAGGAGCCCAGTCAGGGGAACGCACGTTGGTGTGAGCATGGGAGGAGCACAGGTGAGGCCAGAGAGAGAGCAGGGCCAGGAGGACGGGGAAGACATCGGGCACCGCCAAAGATTGAGCAGGGAGGTCATGTGACCCATTTGCTTTTTAAAAAGATCTCTGTGGTGGCTGGATAGGTCCTACAGTAAAATGTAGGACCTATTTTTTTTTTCAAGGTTCTTTGTATTTCCTTTGTGTGTTGTCTTTTTTATTACACACACAAATCCTGACGTCTTACGCCAGGAGTATTCGGCAAACATGGGAGAGAGGAAGAAAGGGAGAGCCGCCAGCACAGTGCAGGGGAGAGAGGAAGCGGTGCCAGGAGGCATGTTTGCGGGGTCACAGCTCACAGAACAAACAGGGATGGGCTCCTGAGGAACAATGAATGCTCGGGCTGCACAGAAACTGAACAATGGTCCGCACTGCCAAGAAGGGCAAACGTGCTCTATCTGTACCCTCCCTTCAGTGAGGGAGAGAAAGAACAGGAGAAAACAACATCCTGAGGTTTTATAGTCCAAGTGGGGAATATTTATCCTTCACAGACAATTGAAATATTAAAAAAAAAAAATTCTTAATAGAGGAAACTCGTAGAAGAGTAACAGCGTAGCCAACTGTGTGAACATCAACATCTCTCCCCCTTCTAAGTAAGGACAGGAATTTAAGCAGTGTTTTCAAAGTATTTAGAATCCTATCTATCGCTATGGCATTGTTTTGTTTTTTGTTTTTTGTTTTTTTTAAATATTTTACCCTGGATCAGAGAAACTGAGTCATGGGCTTCACGCTGGATGTTCCTTTCCAGGTTTTAGTTCTCAAGGTAGAATTTTCACGTGAACAAATACTTCTTAAAGTATCTTAACACTTCCTTGCACATTTGTGAGGGCACCACGGTCAGCTACTTACGGAAGGTGCGGTGGGCACGAGGTCACTTTCCGTTCTGCCCGTCTGCATTGCTGTGTGAACCCGGACAGACTCATAAATGGAAGGTTCTTCCACTTTTCTCGGGTAGGGGTGTTTCAGGACAATCAGGGTGCCTGAGTGAAGACAAAAGAACATCGTCAGAGAGCAGCCCCAGAAAGAAGGCCCACAAGCTAACAACCAGAGAACCATGGCTAGATTTTAGCCTCTTATGTTCACATCTTTTCACTTGTTCATTTTCTCGACGTTTCCTGAGTCGCACCCATGTGCCAGGCACTTAAGGTGGACACTAGATATAGAAAGCATGAGGAGATGATTTCTGTCCTCCCAGTGCTCAGACAGAACTAGCAATGGATATTACTTAACGATTGCCATTTAAATGAACAGGGTGATAAGACCAGGGTCAGAGATGAGGATGACGCATGCTGGGGGCTCCTGGGGGCCCCAAAGACCCCTTCCATGGAACACTTCGGAAAAACTTTCGTGGAGGGGGACACATGGATCTAGACCTTAAGCTGTAACTGGAAACTTACAAGAAGGCTTTACAAAAGCCACAAAAGTAAAAGCGAACAAATGCACTGAGGTATGAGAGGATTTATTCCACAGTCCTTATTGCTCACTAGTTTCAGAACAAACTTATAACAGATCAGTGGGTCTCAGAAAAAGTGGACTCGTTGCATTATCCCTACTGTCTCCTACCACCCAATTAACAAAATAAGCTACATGAAAATTTGCTTTGCTCTAGTGAACGTGACTGAACTGGCTTATGCATGATTGCCCTCACTTCCACCTGGAGGAGAGGGTCAGGCAGAAAAAGGACTCCAACAGGGGCCAGTTTTGGGGGGCTTCGGCATGTCCCTCCAAGCCTGAGAGCACTTCTGACTCAACACTTTTGGTCTTCCCCCAGTCAATCAGCTGATCAGAAACTAGACACTTTACAAAAAGAGTAAGTTAAGGGATTCTTCCTCCTTGCTGTGGTTTCTTGCTTTTATTTCACTGGTGTCTTGTAAAGGCAGGCCTGAGATTGTACTATTCAGGAAGATGTAAAGAACTCAGTAATACATTCAACAAATATTTACTGGGCTCTCCTATGTGCCAGACACTCATCCAGGCAGTGGGAATACAACAGCAAACAAAGAAGATACAGCACCTGCTTCTCTGGTTGGGGAGCCAGAAAAAAAAAATGAAAAGAAATACAATATGTTAGGAGAGAGCAGTGTTTTAGAAACCCTAACAGAGCAAGATAAAGGCATAGCAGGTGATGAGGGAGGGGTCAGGAAGAGGGTGTTATTTCATAAGGGTGGTGAGAAGGCTCCTTTGAAAAAGTACTTCGAAAGATTATAGAAAGTATGGGCCTTGGGCACTGGGTGGCTCAGTGGGTTAAGCATCTGCCTTTGGCTCAGGTCATGATCCCAGGGTCCTGGGATTGAGCCCCACATCACGCTCCCTGCTCAGCGGAAAGTCTGCTTCTCCCTTGGCCTCTGCCCTTCCCTCCTGTTCATGCTCTTTCTCTCTCTCAAATAAATGAAGGAAAAAAAAAAAAAAAACGAAAGTATGGAACTTGAACTGGTGTAAGAGAGACAATGAGGACAGAGACCACCTCTGCAGGTAAAAAGTACATTATAATAATAATACGCCTACAAACAAAGACAGCCGATTATAGTGTTGGTGCTTGGTGCTCGAGTATGCGTGACCTACTGACTGCAAGAAACACCTGTGGCCTCTGACGACAGGCCCATGGGACCCCCTCCTGTCCCTTGACAAGAACCACCAAGAAAAGCCAGGGGAGGGTCTCTGACCTGGGCCCCAGAGAAGAATGAGACCCTGGCCTCCTTCTTCTGCATCCAGGTCACACCTGAAGCATTGAGATCACAATGAAAAATGGCTTTCACAGGGACCCGCAGCCCCCATCCCATGCTTGCGCATTGTCAGCGCTCTCTTATTAATGTGATCCTTTCATGAGAACAGATCCAGTCATATCAGGACAAGGGGCTAGCGACAGGTTTACAGTTTTAGAGTCATAATGAAAGCAGAGACACCTAAATCAAGAGCAGACGTTGCGCGGGCTTGGGGGCCGTGTTACACCATCATAACGGTGCCAGGTGCTCGTGAATGTGGGCCTGGCTCCAAGGTGCCCCCCGCAAAGATGCCCCTCCCTCCAGTGATGTGACCGATGGTCACCATGGCATCATGGAAAGAGCCACCACTGCCACTCTGTTCCTGTGGATGCTGGACAATCGTTCTAGCTTCTGTTTCCTCCTCGGACACGTGAGAATAATGACCTTTCTTCACAAGGCTGTCTGAAGCACTTAATAAAAAGTATTTGTGAAAGGATTATGAAAATGTGAGATGTTATTATGCTTTGCTATAGAGTATTTTTTAAATTCTTAAACGAAAACTCAATGATCGCATCTCTGGAACATGCATTTTTAAATGTCGAGTTAAAAAAGCCCCATGTGTGACATTCTGCCAAGAATGAAAATGACAGAGTCTAGTAGCCGCCGACGGCCTTTCTTAAGCCGCACAGGCCCCTCCTAAACCTTCCATCTGACAGTGGAGGAGAGGGGTCTGGAGCCCAAGGCTCAAAGCAGTTTTCAAGATAGAAAAAATGTGAAATCTCGCGCTTTCTCTTCCAAGAGGATGCTAGATTTTCATCCTTTTCCCTATGTTTAATATGAAAACAATTTTTTAAATGATGTGCTGGAAAGACACACTGAATCAATTCCGGTTTTGCACATAACCAAGCATACTACCTGTAGTGACTTCCCTTTGTTTCTGTGACAAATCACTACCACCATAGGGCTTAAAACAACTCAGATTTCTTATCTTACAGTTCTGGAGGTCAGAAGTCTGAAATGGGTCCCATTAATCTAAAATCAAGGGATTGGCAGGGATGCTCTCTTTCTGGAAAGGCTCTAGGGAAGAATCCATTCCGTCTTTTCTAGCTTCTGGAAGCTGCCACCATCCCTTCCCTGGTGGCCCCATTCCTCCATCTTCAAAGCCAGCAACAATGCGTGTGAGGCCTGCCCACTCTGCCATGTCTCTGGATCTCCCTTTACAGCCTCCATCTTTTACTTACAAGGACCCTTATGATTACAGTGTGCCCACCTGGAAAATCCAGAGTAACCTCCCTATCCAAAGTCAGCTGACGGGTAGTCTTAATTCCACCTAGAAACTTAATTCCCTCCTGCTACAGAACGTAACATATTCACAGGTGCAGGGAGAGAGGTGGGCATCTTTGGGGGGGTCACCAGTTCCTGGAAGATAAGCATAGCCTTGGGGGCCCACTGTGTTACAATATAAGGACCTCTGGGCAGGGGTGCTGCCTGAGCCACAACGCTATAACCACTTGGTATTGTAAACCCATTGTCTTTTCAAAAGGTGCAATTCCCAACCCTGAGAGTCCCTTCAGAGCAGGTATGGTGCCAAATTTATATTTGTGTCCCCGCCTCCCAGTAGAGATGCTGACATAATGAAGGCTTGATCAGTGAGGGGATATATGAATGCCATAGCAGGTCAGAGTTACATCAGAGAAGAGCCTGGGAGGAGCCAACCTCCCAGGGTCATGATCACCCTGCGCCAGAATAAGGACGGGACCACAACGTCAAGTACAGCTGTCCAAATCTCCACTGGGGGGAATAATATTCTATTTCAAAAACCTCTTCTAAACTTTAACCAACAAACGCTAAACTGAGAGAAATGATAATGAGTCAACAGGAAAGCAGAATTGAGTTTAGATTGATTTTAGCTAGTAAGACCATGAATGAGGCTAGACTGAATGGTGGAATGAAAAAAATGACAATCTACTTATAAAATGATAGCTCCCACTGGTAATCCCACCTCCTGAGGTCTTCCTAGCTTGATGGTTCTGGTCAAGGAGAAAACAATACATAGATTCCTTGGCACGGCTGCTGGGCTTACGATGATTTCCCCTTCTGCAGAGACTGTCCCATTCTTGTACACCAGGGTAGATCCCCACAGATCCTGGGTGTCCCCCACAAACACCTCCCCCCAGTGCACTCACAGGACTCACTTCCCAGGGATCTACCAGAGAAAAGGCCCACTATCTTCAGTTTCTGAGCTACATGAAGGAGACTGTTCTTTCCTGCCTTTCACATAAAACCTGGTCTCAGAAATGTCTCAGAGGTACATTTTTGAGGTGATCAGAGCAAGGCCAAGGGAGGCTTTTTGGTTTGCTGAAAGCCTCAGACTTGCCGTGATCATGGGGCTGATTCTTTATTGGCTCTTGGCGTTCATCCTGCCTTTATATTATGGACAAGAATACGAATATCCTTACCAAAAAAAAAAAAAAAAAAAAAAAATCCACTTCTCTCACTGTCCTCCTCTTCCCCACCTTTTTTGTTTTGTTTTTTGTTGTTGTTTTGTTTTTTTTTTTTTGTTTTTTATTTTTTTTTAAGATTTTATTTATTTATTTGACAGAGAGAGATCACAAGTAGGCAGAGAGGCAGGCAGAGAGAGAGAGGAAGGGAAACAGGCTCCCTGCTGAGCAGAGAGCCAGATGTGGGACTCGATCCCAGGACCCTGAGATCATGACCTGAGCCGAAGGCAGCGGCTTAACCCACTGAGCCACCCAGGCACCCTGTTGTTTTGTTTTTAAATTCATCTAGCCAAGGTGGGTTTCTGTCATTTGCAATCAAAAGAAACTTAGAAAATGTAGCCACCATAAACTCATTATATTTCCACCTAAGGTCCAAGGTAGGCCCTTGATCCCTTAAAGGAGGAACTCCAGGTGAGTGATAGGCCAAATGAACTGCAGGATCTGTTCGGAGAATTCAGCTACAAAGTAACAGGAGGCAGGGGCTGGTAGAGGGAGGAGAGAGGAAGCTCTACGACCACAGGTCTGGGAAACCTGGCTGCAAGTTTCACTTCAGTTTCTGAGCTACATGAAGGAGACTGTCGTTTCCTGCCTTTGACGTGAAACCTGGTTTCAGAAGCGCTGCGTGGAGGTACGTTTTTGAAGTGATCAGAGCAGGACCACGGGAAGCTATTCTGCTTGCCGTGGCTCCACCGTTAACTTACAGGACGCCCACTCCGACTGTGCCCTCGTGACACTGCGCAGAAGCGCTCCCTGGCTTGTATTCCCGCGGGACTCCGC